GTACGGTACGTACGTACGTAGTGTGTGTGTGTGTGTGTGTGTGTGTGTGTGTGTGTGTGTGTGTGTGTGTGTGTGTGCGTGTGTGTGCGTGTGTGTGTGTGTAAACAAATAAATCACAAAACACTCACTTTTACTACTACCGCCTTCCTTATTTTACTTACAGCCGTCATTAGAGAGCCAAGCGGCCATTTGAAGACATCCATGAACTACTACAGTCTTCCCAAGCTGATGAAGATCAACTCTAAGAATCCTGTCAAGACGTTCCTGGAAGACCCGTGGAAGTACAAGGACCTGTCTGAGGCTTACTTTGACTTCTGTAACATGACATGGGACGGCACCAGGAACCATCAGTCTTTTGACCTTGGTTACCCTACTAAAGCAGCTGACGACATGGTAAGTCTGCAAGTCAAACTCCAGGCATTTGCCCTGTCACAAATATGCAAATAAATCGATATGTTGCCTGTGTGACTGTCTATGTATTTGTCCTTGAAAATAGTAAACGCACTACGAGTTGTGTGGACATATTGCACTTGTCTTTAACCCATCAAGATGGCGGACGCTAGACATGCGTGACGTTCATGAGCAAGTCAAGTTCCTTAGGGGGGGATAGTTTGCAGTCACGTGACTATGACGTAATCTAGAGTCCGCCATCTTGGTGGGTTCAAGCCGGAACTGTCTCAATAATTATGACTAAAAATTTTTAGTAGATTAAAATCTGGGTTGTTAATGTTGTAGACATTTCATTTTACACTCACTACACTACTACACCGCTAGTTTTGCCCCCTACAGATTTTTAAAAGAATTGACCGGTCGCCATCTTGGATTCACGCGATCCACCAACATGGCGGTGACAGTCAGTTATGACGTCACGTACAAACCAACGGTAGTACAAAACTCACTAAATGTTACTCTCATAATATTTTTCCTGGTTGTCAAAGAAAGAAAATCTACATTTAAATTTGCAGTCTGATAATCCACAAAAATTACATACTTCTTTTAAAAATTTTAAGGAACAAGCTCGAAGGTACATCCGTGAGCTAGAAGCGGATTTCACCACGATGCTGCTACTGGAACATCTAGATGAGTCCCTCGTTCTCCTCAGACGTCTGATGTGCTGGGAGGTGCGAGACGTTCTGTACGACATCACGCCGAAGAACAGCCGAAGTTATCCCTACAAAACGTACGTCCCCACCGCCGAGGAACTCGCCAACCTCCGCCGGTGGAAAGCCGTGGATTACTTACTGTATGACACCTTCAACGCCTCCTTGTGGCGGAAGATTGCAGCTCAGGTGAATTTTTTAGTTGTGTCGTTCAGATCAGCCTATTCGTCATAGTTCAGTCCCAATAATCTAATAAGCTGGTCACATTAACTATGGTGTAATAACGGAGAAAGTTTCGTCATACAATCGTATGATGCTTTCTACGATGCAATTAATTTTTTTAGATTTCTTTCTCACGATTGCTTCTAGCAGTTACTTAAAAGTGATAATGTGTCCTACGAATTATTATACACAGGGACCGGATTTCTACGATGAGCTTCGTCACTTTAAGGAGGTGAACAAACGTGTCAGCGAGTTCTGCAGTAAACCTCCGACGGACACACCCGCGCTCACAGTGGTACCGTCCAAGTGGAACTCAGAGTTTCAAGTAGACGCTTATATTTGCAAGCTCATAAAGTCTCCGGTAAGTAACGTCGCCTTTACCAGTTGAATGCGTTTGGTCAAGATTTTGTTTTGGCAAATAATTTCACCACTTTCACAGTTACCAGATCTGCTGACCTCTGACCTTCAATCCCAAAATGCATCGCCTGGGTAGCCTGTTTTCGCAATGCATTCTGGGTATGGGGAAACTCGTGAATAGTGAAAACAGGTGTGAAATAGATTTTACGACAGTTTTTCACAAGAAAAATGTACTAAAGTTCAACAAGGTGTTAAATAGTATTAGTACGTTGACAAAAATCTTAAAATTCTGTATGAACAGCTATGAAAAGGGGTGCTAGTGTCTACTAAATATACTTGATTTCTTTCTTTCCATCATAGGTATCACCACTTATGAAGTACATACGAAAAGACGCTCCTAGCGAAAGAGCCGGGTACGACATCCTGCCGCCTAGGTCAAACATGGCAGCCATCATCAATGGAGAGCCAGCCTTTAAATACCGGATTGAGCAACGAAATTATCAGAAGTCCAAAGCCTCTAAACGCAGACGCAAACGCAAACGCGCTGGTTTATAAACTATCTGTTTATTCCAAACTATGCCAACAACCTTGGCAAAAGAAAGAAAGAGAGATAAAACATACAGACATACATACATACTCGTACACTGTTAAACAGATAAATAGATGGGTGGATATTTGGATGAATAGAATATTAATAGAATAAAATGAATAGGGTTGATAGATATAAATTTGCCACATATATATGTAATGGATGGCATATCGTATTGATTCGTGTAGAAAGGAAGGTTTGGGCCAAATCTGGTCAGACTGCTCCCGAACTTCAGCCGACTTTGGTTGGTTTTTGGTCGGGGGAAGGTTCTGAATGTGTAACAGTATTTTACTGTATAAATCTTTATACCTGGTTTGTCTGTCAACAACGCATGTTCTGTCTTTTATTTATCTATTTATGACATTTGTCATTTGTGGAAGGATTGACATAACATGTAATATGCGAATAATAATGACGATAGTGGATGCCCGTACCAAGAGATCTAGGCAAATTTAAAGGTATCCAATGCAATTTTAAAGTGACAAAAGAAAAAAATATTCTATTGAGAAAATCTGTCTTATTTACTGCTGTTCCATAGCACACTTTCGTCATCATATCGTATTTGAAGCGTTTGAAATAGCGCCAAAACAAGCTACTGTGAGGCGTCTCTTTATTTTGGGGTAACGCCTATAAATAGCTAGAACCAGCCTACGATACAAAACAAGCAACCGTTTTCCGTCAGTGATATCGCATTTTTGCCTCACACATATATGGGATAGGATCGACTCAACTTACTACATCAAAAGAATGACGAGAAACTGAGAAAATTCACTTTAAAAAGCCTTTAAAGTTCTGTCCTTGAATACTGGTGAGAGATACATACATACTGTGCAGGTGTGACTACAAAGAAAGGCCGCAGCATCAAATTGCAATCCATCATGATCAGACGGTAACCGCAGGGCTGCCGGGTGGCTGATGGATTGCCTAGAACTGTCATCGCGAAGGACCAGTTGGATCAGCCTACATCGTCACCGCCTTTCGCCTTCCCAAGGTCTGTCAGCCCTCCGATGGTATCTGTGCCAAGGTATGTAGAAATTAGAAAAAAAACAACGTACTAAAACAAGAATTGAAACATCAGAAGGGATATTTTACGTCAATTCTGACCAAGTTTGTTGTTGTTGTTGTTGATCTTGTTGCTAGCTGTCGTAAACTCCCTCTCTGAAATCTACCTTTTGGAAGATCTTGAAGTTGTACGTGAGAGTAATGAAAGATAGCAACCTGTATGTCTTGGGTGGACATTTCTTGAAGTTTTGGTGAAAAACTAGCTTTTTTGTCATGGTCTTGGTGTTTTCAAACGCAGAGAAGGTCGTATATAATCACACGGAACACATAAATCACGGGAACAACGCTTTGACCTGTGGTAGCTTGACTATATAATTACTATGTGATTTACGATCTTACGTTAAGCTATGGTGGGGTGCCAAAATCAACACCCAAAAATGCGTCAACAACCAAAATACACACATAAAATAACACTTTTTGACGCATGAAAATTACAAAAATGTTCCTCAAACTTGTATTTGCTCAAAGAAAGATAGTTAAGGTAAAGTTTATCAAGCTGTTTTTGTTCACTAAATTTGAAATGACGGGGGGAAAGGACAACGAATCTTTTCCTGTCAAAATGCGTTGTTTTGATAGAGACTAGTTAGTTGTTACAGATAGTTTTGAACGAATAATGTTACTTTCGTTCTACCACCATTATTGAATTACTTCAAAAATATCGTTCTAGGTTCCACTAGCTTGTTTTGATCGCCGAAAAAATGCAAGTGTAGAGAACATTTTTGTACTTGTTGTTGCCCCCCCCCCCCTCTAATCTTCAAGCAGATCTTTGGGTGGCTGACAGTACTAGTTACAATTAACCACCGGAATGCGTGAACAAAGATGCTAGTTCCAAAAAAGAAAACCTGATAAAACGCTTAAAACAAGCCGAAGCCTAAACTAAGGTTACATTTGTATGAACTATTTCTCAGCTTCCTTGTGGTTATGTTTTTATCTTTAATTCGGTCATTGTACTCAAATATTCGTTGAAAGGCATAATATTAACACAAAGATAGAAGGAAGTTCCATTTAGATTAGTTACCTTAGTGTAGGGAGGTTTTGTTTTCGGTGTGTTTGTGTGTTTGCTTGTGTTTCCGTATGCTAATCACGTGGGGAACACTGACAGAAAATTAGGTCAAAGATTCCAGAAAAGGTCATCTCATTTCTGCTGTCTCATATGGGTACAGTAAGAGAAAATGCAATGACAAAATCAGTAAGAAGTTTACAATAAGAAATAAAAGTTAACATGAAAATTTAATAGCCTTTTTCTGCACTCATCTTTTGTTCACTTGGACTCTTCAATGCACCAAGAAAGGTTTTATAAGATGGAAACATTCCTTGTACTGAACAACATGTCTTCTTTTACTTAGAAATTCTTAGGCTAGAAATGTTTCCAGTTCCCTAACTTTAATTCCCTAACTTGTACTTTATCGCTAGATCGCAAGGGGGCAGGATGAGCACTAGAGCACGCTTCACTGTGATGCTGGTTATTGTAACCTGTGGAACTGCCGTGTATCATTATACTCAGGTCAGTAAAGAGTCACACTTGCCAGTAAAAGCTTTTCCTAGTCTTATTAACCTTCGTGTTTATTTATCCAGTTTCTCCTTCTTCTCCAAATACAATGATCTGGACCAGACGTCTGTCACCATGGTAACTGTTGCTGTAGCAGACACCCTGTGGTGGTGGATGACATTATGTAGCAAGTTGTCCCAGTGAGCACAGTGTTGGAGGGGCTGGTCACCATATATGTGAATGTGTTTAAGTGAGAATAAACACTGCAGTAGTTTGTTATGCACAGGGCATCGGTCTATAAATATACATATGACATTTATAAAATGATATTTTCACAGAGCATGACGGCGCTTCCAAGTAGTGGACCACAGATAGCGAGGGACGTTACACAGCAGGCATCTGAATACAAATCCTCAGAGACCAAGGCACAATTGTAAGTATAGATTCAGTTTTTCAGTGCCAAACCGTAACATTCTCAAAGGCCATTTCGAGTACAATGCCTCTGTACGGTAAAAGACTGTGTTTCGACACGACAGCACTACATGTATTTGTCTGCGGCTGGTTCTGTCACAACCTGCTTGAACATTCTACATCATTGGTGCGAGGGGGACGATACCGACTTCTCGCGAACTTTGACCCATGACGTCACACGTGGAAAAAGATCACGTGTCTACAGCACTTGGGTCAGATACTAGTAGCTGATGTAGACAGAGGGATTCGGTCGAAAATTCCGGCGAGTCAAATCTATTTTTAACCTCCTTGGTACGACGTCCTACAACGATTGTAATAATAAGAAAACTTTTTTTTTCTACAGGGATCAGCCACACCTTATAGATGAGAACAGAAAGGAGCCAGAAAAGTCGTCAAAATGTCGCCATCCACGAAGAAAGTTCGTCTTCATCAAGACCCACAAAACTGGCAGTTGTACTGCCGTGAACATTTTTCAAAGATACGCCATCAAACACCGCCTGTCTGTACTCATACCAACAGGAGGGAATTTACTGGCCTGGCCCTTCCCTCCAGCAGAAGAGGATTACGTCCACACCCCAGATGAACAGTATGACGTCCTCTTAAACCACATGGTGTATAACAAGACATGGCTACGGTCCAAGTTCCCGGCTGACACGGCGTACATCTGTAAGAAATGTTTATATTATTGTAGAATCGCATTGTTTTATGAGATTTAGCACAGGTGTAGTCAAATCACGTGTCTACAGCGTGTTTTCATCAAACAACAATGAATCTAGCTCAGGCGAATTGTGATCGGACACGGTTTCAAAGGAATGTGTGGCACGTGGACCAGATGTGAGGAATGCGAGTTACCCAAATCGCGGTTTGGGTGACTTCACATGAACAAGGCTATTGTTGAAGAACGAAAGATTAGCTCGATCATTCCGGTGAATCAAATTCTTTTGAATTGCCTAACAGTTTATTTCTAATTAAGTTTCTTACTTGTTAGTGTCCCAAACAAAACACTGACAAAATATTTCTCTCACACAGCTATCATACGGGAGCCGATCGGCCATTTGCGGTCAGCCATGAATTACTACAGTCTTCCCAAGCTGCTGAAAATCGCGTCTTCTAAGAATCCTGTCAAGACGTTCCTGGAAGACCCGTGGAAGTACAAGGACCTGTCTGAGGCCTACTTTGACTTCTGTAACATGACCTGGGACGGCACCAGGAACTTTCTGGCATTCGACTTGGGCTACCCTACAGAGGGAGCTGACGACATGGTAAGTCTGCAAGTCAAACTCCAACGTTACGTACGCAGTTTTTCAGTCAAAAAATGCACATTACTGAATATCTTGTCAGTGAGTTATGCGGACACCAGTTATCAACGAACGTTGACATATCGCACGTGCCTTTAACCCACCAAGATGGCGGACGGTAGACATGCGTCTAATAACGTGACTGCTAACGCACCTAACCAAAGTTGGTAGAACTTATTTGCATATGTGACTGAACACTGGCAACGTAATTTGCATATTTGTGACGGGAGATATGCAGTCACAAAAATGCAAATGAGCCCAAACAACTCCAAATGTGTAGTGTCTGTGACGCATGTCTAGCATCTTCGTTGGTTAATTAAAGACGCTATAGATATGTTTGATATTGATTATTGGCGTCCATACAAAGACCATTTTCCTTTAATCTATAGAACGTTTCGTTACCGATATTGAGTCACTGCCATGTCATAGCCACGTTTACATCCTATCGTTTTCTATTCCTACAAGGAACAAGGTCGTCAATACATCAGTGAACTAGAAGCGGACTTCACTCTGGTCTTGCTACTGGAACATTTGGACGAGTCCCTCGTTCTCCTCAGACGTCTGATGTGCTGGGAGGTGCGAGACGTTCTGTACGATATTGAAGCAAAGAACAATCGGGGATACCCATACAAGTCTTACAGCCCCACCGCCAAGGAACTCGCCAACCTCCGCCGGTGGAAAGCCGTGGATTACTTACTATATGACACCTTCAACGCCTCCTTGTGGCGGAAGATTGCAGCGCAGGTGAGGAACGGAACCAGAAGGATAATGGCAAGCTAATATGTAATCTCCTAGTAGATCCCTTTCGGTGGCAAAAGTATCCATTAGCCAGAGAAGGTCGCCGGCCACCGACGTTAAGTTTTCAACTTATATTAACGCCGCCACCAACACAGGGGACAATACAATACTCATTTTAACCTGAGCGAAGTGAGGAAAGTCGTGTAAAGTGCCCTTTTCAATGGCACAAGATCGGCGGCATCGGGCAGGATTCGAACCCGAGACCTCTTGGTTACGATTCGATCCGTTACGCCACGCGACCCCACATAATTCAGGTCAATTCTTTTGTACTCACGTGCCTGTCTGAATTAATGTTTAGTTATAGACCTTACTAAAGTCACTGTACTTTTTTGTGTCAATTAAGTTCTCAATATCGTTACACTTACACACACAGGGTCCAGATTTCTACAAGGAACTCCGCTACTTCAAAGACGTGAAGAGGCGTGTCGGCGAGTTCTGCCATGGACATGGAAGGAAGGCAAGAAAACGCGATCGTCGCCGGTCTCCTCTCACCATAGAGGCGTCCAAGTGGAGTCGAAAGTTCACAGTGGATTCTAAGTACTGTAGAGCAATACAAGAAAAAGTATGTAATACTATCATGAAAGTTCATCTGTGTTGGTACTTACATGTTTAAAGTTAAAACCTTTGATCCAACACCAAAAATTCTCTCACCTAAAGCTTTCGACCAGTCACTCTGGTCTTCCTCAGTAGACTGACCCAGTGAAGCTTGTCACGTAGCTTCTTTGAAGTGTGACGTCAACACTGGGTCAAAGGTATCTTGTAGACGATGTCGGCCCCCGTCACGGTTCAATGAAGGGTGATGGGCCCTGATGTATATGGGTTCCTTCACCCCTCTCAAGAAAGCTTCACTGGGTCAGTCTACTGAGGAAGGCCAGAGTGACTGGTCGAAAGCTCTAGGTGAGAGAATTTTTGGTGTTGGATCAAAAGTTTTAACTTTAAACAAGTATGCAATGCCTTATGGTATTCTTTACCATCTTTCTTTAGGCTTCCACATTTATCGTTATGAACTCCATCGGTTTTATGATGTTTTGATTTTTTTTTCTTCTTGCACAGGAAATTCCTCTAGGGAAGTACATCAGGAAACGTGCATCTGTGAAAGACAAGAAAGGGCGGACAATCATGAGAGTCGCCGAAAATGTACTTCGTATTGTAAAAGGTCTAGCTACTGTGAAATATAAGGCCGAGGCAACAAAAGGAAAACATTGACAGTGTCTGGTAAAGTCACGCATAGAGGAATTAGGGCACAGCCCACCATTTCGAGCTTCAACATCAACAGATACCAATTATGCAAATAACGACCTAATTTACATAATTAATGTGAAATTTTGTGATTTCTTAATGGTGAATGATGGGAATTTTATGCCCACCATTTCGAGCTCCCATTGAAATATATGGTAAACATTAATATATGAGCTGTCAAAAATGTAGTTTCATCATTTTTGGTGTGTAGAGAGATGTACATCATTAAATGCAAATTATGCAAATGAGATTGAATTTGCATAATTAAGTAGGAAATTCTGTAATTATTGTGTTTTACATGATAGTACTTTCATACACGTGATGTATGTATGTATGTAATCTATGGCAGGTGAAAACATCAACAGATACCAATTATGCAAATAACGACCTAATTTAAATAATTAATGTGAAATTTTGTAATTTCTTAATGGTGAATGATGAGAATTTTATACCTTGTAACGAGTAAGCTACTTAAAGGTTAACATGACTATGCATATATTATGTTAATGTGGAGTTCGTCTGCATAATTAATGAGGACATGTTTAAATGTAATATTGCCAAAGGATAGGAATTCCACACGCAAAATATTGTAATTTGAGTTTAGAAAACCATAAATTAAACTAGATTATGTTAATTACGACCTTACTTCCATATACAATGAGACAAATCCACCCAATAACAATTTTACATAAACTCTACATATTTCGTGCCGCCGATATGAGATCTCCGAATTCTTGTTACAACTGTACGCAAGGCGTAAGGAACGGTCTATTTCGACGACGCCTGGCTTGTTTTGGTAGATCCAAAGGACAAAAGCACGCGTCAGGTGACTTGAAGGTCAAAGGTTTTAAGTGCTGTGGTTTGGCTTGGCGGGTTGGCAACAACAGACGCATTTCCGGTTTACACGGAACTGAAACCACAAGTTTTCAGCTAAGTCATGAAGCCTCCGCACGTTTTAATATCCGGCCTAATGCCCCTGGCTGACCGAACTGACAAAGTGGGAACGTCGGAGGAAGTCGGGGTGAGTCACCGGGGGGCGGGGCTTGGCAGACCTGGTCATGACACAGCACTAGTTTGACTGACACAGCCGTCAGACGACAAGGAAGATAGATTTCTGTCAGCAGTATATACCGCCAAGAAAATTACTTTCAAGTTTTCTGTCATAACACGGCACTAGTTTGACTGACACAGGCGTCAGACGACAAGGAAGATTTCTGTCAGCAGTCTACACCGTACCTCTCGGCACGTTTTCTGTCAACTGTGTCATTTGTGACAGTTTAACGCTTGTTAGAGTGAGAGAGTGACTAATAGGGGACAACAGTATCAAATCATACCGGGTATGGAGCCAGGTATTCTTCGTACAGCGACGTTTAGTGTGTTTTGTTTCGTCACTTTTCTCACAAGTCTTGAACCAACCAAAGCACAGGATCCGGGTAAGTATACTGTTGTACTTTTATATTTGAGTTGACAATTCGTGGTATAAATTCAAAGGGGGAAGTATAGGAACGTTCAAGATAAGATAATGTCAGATTAATGTGTTGTATACTTAAGCTTAGAAAATCACTAACAAACACACTTGTTTCTAAATTAAGATCTGGGTTGTTGTTAAAGAACAAATGAACTAATTTCAGTTTTGGGGCCTTTTAACAAAATCCTGTTTACACAAGGTGATTCATTGTTTTTACGAGTCATTGGGGTGATATTTTACCATATCGATATTCATGGCCTTATACGAGTAAGCCAATAGATTTGCTGATAACATAGTACTCATTATTGTGCCACGTTATGGAATACTGTATTGTCAAGAAGCTATACTTTCCTCCTTTCGGATATATTATATTTTGCTGTTAAAAACTTCTCATGAAGAACATGAAGAAAATGAAATCTAAAAGTAATATTTTCGACATGTCCTGGGTAAAGACTAGTCTCAAAAATTCGCGGGTATTGACTTTTTAAAATCTCAACAGCCAGAATTGACCGTTTGTATATACATTTTGTGCCTTGAAAAAACTCACTGTATTATAAATATACAAAAGGGACCAGGATAAAAAATATGCCTTGACTTAAACGTACATGGCGGTCTTGCAATGCAAAAAATAAAATGTTACCGGTTAATAAAATGTTATACAGAAAGCTAGACAAGTCGCTGCCTGTGTTTCCTTTTCGGAAAGAACCACTATTTACCGTAATTCATCAACCAGAAAATCAGGAAGCTGCAAACAGTGTTAGTGTGACCTATGTCAGTGTTATTTTTGAACCACGATAAATAACTTAACTTATCCAATGCAGTTTCAGGACAACAAAACAAAAATATTCTGGATGAGGAAATCTGTCTGAAAAGGACATTTATATTATATAACTGCCATTTCTTAGCACATTTTCATCATTATTTCATACTTTAAGCGTTTCAAATGGTACCGCGAGGTGTCCTTTGTTTTTAGGTACCACCAATAAATAGTAGAACAAGCCAACGATTCGAATCAAACAACTCTTTCCGTCAACGACATCGCATTTTTTTAGATATCAGCATGCTATGGAATATGGTTGATTCATATTCTATACATTAAAAATGACCCCCAAAAAATTGACTTTGAAAATCCATTTTTCTGCTCTGAAATCATTTCTGGCGCCTCTAACGCGACTGACTGAGGAAGTGTGAATGTGACTAGAATATATTCCAACAGGTGTGTTCTTTTGTCTACAGGATGTCAGAAGATCCGAATTTCCGGTTCCACGCGTCTACAGACCCACCTTATGACGACATACACCATCACAGATCAGTTTACCGAGGGCCGCCCTGTATATACCAGTGACACAACAGATGATCGTATTTTTTACGTATCCAGCTCATATCCTAAATATGTCCCAACCTGGTTCGTGGGTCCCTACCCAACCCCTGGAAACAACGGACTGTACGTGGAAGACACAAGTTTGTCTGCAAATAACATCAAAGGAACGTTCAACATTTGGGACCCTGACACAAGAGAGTGGAAAGAGGCGCCGTATGTGCAGATAAGTTGTGCAGGTTAGAAGATATCTTTTTTAATTCATGATTTTTCTTTTCTTGAGTAATCCTCTTTACGAAGAATGCCCCTTCTGTTCCAAAACAAACTGCTGGGGGGGGGGGGCGAAAAACAATACCTCCATTTTACACGAAGGTAACAATTTCGCTTCCGGCTATCTCTCGCAAGTTTCTATACATTTGTCTGAATATTTTTTTTCCATTTCCAGATCCAGGCTACCTCGGCTGTTTTAACCGCGATTTTATCGTCATGAAACAACAGATACTGATGGATTCGGACATTACCGTAGATTCGTGTATAGAAAGGTGCAGGAACTATGGCAAAAGCATCGCTGGTATCAACGAACAGATCTGTTTATGTGGCTCCGGTGTCAACCACCACAGTCATTCGTCGTCATTTTGTTCTACTCAGTGTGGAGGAAACAACGATCAAACATGTGGGGGGTCAGGAAGAGCTGACGTTTACCAAAGTAAGTGAATTCCTAATCTCCAAGCAGATTTTTTGTGGCTGCAAATAAAAAATGTGCGTATATCATATTATAATCGTTTTCTTTTAAAATGATAGTTCGCCGTGGACTAATTCAGTGAAGCACTGTACGTTGAATGGTCCGACGCCACGTACACTGCAAACATCATAGTTACATTTGTATGTTTCTCCTAATGCATTGAGTCTTGTTTTCTTTTGTCTGTGCAACAGCATGGGTTGGTGTGTGTGGATACGAGCAAACAAACGGAGCCATCTACTCACCAAGGTATCCCGGGACGTACCCAAACTACGACAACTGTACCTGGGAGATCAACTTTGACTCAGACAAGGTCATCAAGTTCTACTACAACGTGTGGGACGTCCCAGCCGGGGACATACTGGTCATCACGGACAAGTCTGGACAAACCAGGACACTGGGACCGGGCTTCGACACAAGTTGGACCAATGAAGCCATGGTCAACTTTTTATCAGACAACGACAGACGTGGGAATGGGAAATTTGCTATCCAGTATGAAGGTAAGAAATCATGGTGGGAAATCAAACTTGACCTTCCTTTTCACAACCCCTACCCACCTACCAAATACCATCCACAGCCTCTGGGGTTATGCTATTGAAATACATAGAGGACTCAGACCACAGCCACTACACACAACCGAAAACATAACCTTCTTGGCGAAGGTAATAAGCCCATTTTGTTTATCCAGCTGTAGACCACTGTGGAGGCATTGCTGCTACAGGAGGTATCCTACTGATATCTCCTTCACACGGAGGTAACTTCGCCGTTGGACAGAAGGTCACCATACGATGTAAGGACGGGACAGAGACCGTGGTGGAGTGTCTACAGGACAAGGTCTTCAACGCATCGGGGCCGTATTGTGCAGGTAAGTTAGGTCCCAGAACGAACACACACACACACACACACACACACATTCAGAACCTTCCCCGAACACCAGTCGACTGAAGTTCGGTAGCAGTCTAGGGTCACACGTACCTTTCGACACCAATCGAAATCAAATTTGAGTTAAATTTGGGTCAATCTTCACTGCCATCCACTCCCGACCACTGCTGATCTACTAAAGTATTCCCTGACGTTAGCAAACCACCAGCCAACCATGGCCGAACCTCCGTTCCACACAGTAGCCGAACAGGCCGAGCACCAGCCGTATTCAGCCGTAACCAGAGGCCATATTCACCTATGTGTGGCTGGGGCTATAGTCCTTGGCTATAGTTACCAAACCTTTTTTTGCAAACCTTTCGGACGTTTCGGTAGATGCTTTGCTGCTTTCATCGGCTTTATTTTCCGGCTTTCGTTTTTTTTCCAGGTTCTACTGAAGGCGGAATGACCACGGCCAGTATGGGTACCGCCGCAGATGGGGACCAGGCAAAAGGTAACTACTATACGGTTATTGTTTCCAAACATGTGTGAAATAGCTTTTCAGAGGGTTTGCAGTTCAGCCAGATCGAAAATTTATGTCCCTTGCCAGCGGCTGACCCCAAAAAAAAAGCTAAGTTTGGCGAGATTTTACTTGGGTCGGTCGGAAAACCGGAAACACATTTCATTCCCAGGCCTTATGAAAAACTTTTGACAGTATACGTAAAACATCATCAGTAACCACAACCTTATCATTATGCAAACCAATCACTGAAGCTGAAAAACAAACTATTTTCTCCACCACTTTCTTAAAATTTGTCTTCTTATTTTTTCTATGTAGGTACCTCCATGACGGTGATTGTCGTTGTGTCTGTTCTCGCTGTGCTAGTACTTCTTGCCGTGCTGTGTATTGTTCTGTACTTCGTCATCAAGAAAAGGTGAGAGTTTAATGATGTCATATCCAACCTAATCGTTGTAGTGTAAATGATAAATTGTGATAACTTAGTAGGACACTCTGAAACATGCGAATATGTCATGTGATCTTCGGTACTTTGGGTGATTTTTTTTGCTGTTCTACGTGTATGCCTTCGACCAGTTTGAAAGAAAGTAAGAGGTGTGATACGACTGATAAATTTTGTGGATACAAAAACTACAAAGCCTATGCAGACTGCTGCGCTCACTCGGCGGTTTAGTCGGTGGTTATAGGAAATGACCATATACACCTCGGGACGGGTCATTAATCCTTAATTGTTGACTTATAACGTTATTTATATCGTTTTAGGTTTGTTATTGCGACTATTTATGCTCTTCCATCTTCCTAACAGAAAAGCTAAGTCGACCAAGAGAAAGGGTCCAACCTATCCCAGAATCCACCTGGACAGCTCCGTCGTCATCTCCTCACCAACACCTTACGTCATCCCAAATGCTGACGTCAGTCCTGACGTCACCCTCACCTCCGAAAACGTCACGTTTGTTCCAAAGAAGGCAACGGAGCCGGAACAGGACGAGCATGCGCACTACGAAGAGACAGAGGTCGGACTGTTGGAGAACAGTGATGACGTCACGGACAGGGAGGAGGAGCTACGTCAGCTGTACGCTCAGCCAATGAAAAAGAAGAACGGCCAGCAGCAGGGCGAATCTCCGTATCATAATGACCCCCCGCGAAACGAGGACCAGGACTTTGTGGAAAACGATCTCTACGGATTTGACCACGGCGGAGAAGCCGATAATGGGGCGCCTTCTAGCGGCCAACCGTATATCGACAACAACCTATACGGATACAGCTAGACAAGTTTAGTCCTAGAAGATTAGGCAGCAGATCAGACACAATTGCCGTGCGTTAGATAACAACACTAAATACTATGATACTTGACTAAAAACAATGCTACATACTGTAAAGTAGCAAAAGTACAGATGGGTAGTGATGTACTTAAAAAACAACAGTGTTAGCTAGCGTCCGTCTTTCTGTCATTTGACTAATGACAAAAATGTTGCCCAATCCGGCATCTTTGACAGACAAAAGTCGGTGTGTAAAGATATGAAAAGAGATGTCATTAAAGTAAGCTCAATCGCAGAATATTCTACTAACTGCTGGGCTCAGTCTACAAGCAGAATTTGCCCCTCAAAATGCAGGAAATAGTGTTTCAAAATCTTCCTGGATCCCCGTATTATTGTATGGAAAAGACCTTATAGAAATGATGTACGATAGAAAACGCTGGAAACTGAACTATGCCAATGCTTCAACTCTCAAGTATGATTATGTATGTATATATCAAAATGTAAAATATTGGACTATATAGCATTCTAAGTAGCAGACTAAGTATTCTATATATATATATATATATATATACT